TTGAGATAATGTATGCCCGCATTATGACATCAGCACATTTAATTCATTCATGTTATTTGTTAAAACATTTATGCACATTTTCTTCCCAGAAAGCCTTTAGAATAATATATAATTTCAAAATATTCTCATATAAAAAAATAAAGCCAACAGCTTAAAACAGAAGGGGGAAAAGCCAGAAGACAAATTAATCCAGATTTAAAATCCAATTAGAACCCAACAGAATAAAATAGTTTTATGGCCTGCCTAATAAAAATGCTTTTGAATGGATGCAGTTAGAAGGCAAGAGGCTTTTCCACAATTAATAATCCCATTTCTTCTGTTAAGACCTAGACAAGCTGCTTATAGTGACTGCATTCATAGCATCCTAGGGGCTAAGCCAGGAAGAGCTTGATGTATACTAATACATGGAGTTTTAACAGCAACATTTATTTCGATATTCAAAAGGCTTTTGATAATGTCCTTCATGAAAGACTCTCAAGCAGCTCCTTGCTCATGGATAGGAAGAAAGATAGGGGTGCACTTTGGATTGAAACTGATTAAATAACAGAAAATAAGGAACAGCAATATGTACATACTATTAGCAAGGGGATCTTTGTAAATGAGCTAGCCCAAAAAAAGTATTTTTGTTCACAGACGTACAGAGGTTAGGAGTAAGTAGCTCAAACTAGTGAATGCTAGCCATTTATTTAGGGTGGCTAAAACAAGAAGGGACAGTAGTCTAAAAAGCTCTCTTTAAACGGAGGAAAAGAACATAAACATAGCAAATGCAGTGCCACCTAAGTAATGATGCAAACTGGGACAGGAATGGCTAAATTCATGTATAAATAACTAAAATGATGGCAACTGAATAGGAATAGGTTCACAGAGTTTTGGTAGCTAGTTCAACAGAGCAGTGAACATGATTGCTGTGAAGATGGGAAATTCATGGCCAGAAATATTAAGAAAGGAGTTTAAAATAAAACAGTTAATATCATAATGTCAAAGTTTTTATCAAAATCTATGACATAACTCATTTGTACTAGTTTATATAGTTATCACAAAGTATTACAAAATATTTTTGTAAAACGGAAAAGATTCAGCAAAGGGCATTAACAACAATCAATGTTTGGATGAACTGTCCAAGGCAGTAAAAAAACATTTAAGGTTTTTTGATTTAGGGAAAAGGCAAGCAAGAGAATAAGAAGTCATGAGAGATGTGTAGAGAATTGTGGATAGGACTTTTTGATAGGCATTCAAGAATCTAGATAGGAAGAACAATTTCTTTCTCTTCCATAATACCAGAACCCATGACCCACCAGTTAAGAAGACTGGTTTGCAGAGGGAAAAGAAAGCACCTGGAACTTAGCATTGTCAAACTACAGAATTCACTATTACAAAATTGACAATAATTATTAATTTGATGGTTTTAAAAGGGAATTACAGTCTTTATTAGAGGAATGTCCACTGGACTTCTGAAAATCCAAAGTCATTTTCATTTAGCAAAAGGGAAATTAAAATACTGGGGGATCTGAGATGCTCAAACTTTATCCTTTTTTTGAAGTATGAAAGTGAGTTATGGAAATACAAGTAACATGTACATAATACAGCACAAGCATACAATGTGACTTTTTCTGCATCAACTTATTTTTCTATGCCCTTGTCTATCTCTTGGGCACTGTGTCTCATTGTACCAGGCTGCTTTTGCTGCCTTTGTTAATTGACATGGAAAATTGCCATTAAGCTGTAGCCCTGACCCAACAAAGTCCTGGCCAAATTAAATCAAACTTGCCACTGTGCCTTGCGTTGTCTAACAACTTACTGAGGATGGTAATAGGAAGGGGAGAAGTCCCTCGCAGGAGGAGCCACGCTTACCAACCAAGTACACCAACCTTCCTGGCATCCTAACAAAGTTTAGTAATCAGAAACAGCAATTGCCCATCACTCCTTAAGGGTTAAGTTAATGGCCATTCTTTCCAGCCTTCCTCAGAAGAAACCAAGCTTTACGAACATGCTCTGGGTATCTCTCAAAAACTAGTACTAAGGGGGCTATTTACAGGAATGCCCAAGCTTGCCAATCATTTCTGCCAACCTTCTGGCATCCTAGAAACCCCGGTGATCAGAGGTAGTACAGCTCATAAGGACAAGTCAACGGGCATTCTTCAGTGTAATGCCAAGCCTGGCACCCACCAAAAGCAAACAATAAGTAGGAATGTACTTTTTAGTGTTTTGGCAAGCTTAATTTTTAAGTTGGAATAAGAGATTTTCTGCACTGGTTCAATCACTGCAACTTAAACTTGTTTTCTGATCCCTGTCTGAAAAAAAGATTCAGAGATATATTTCAAAAATACGTTATAATAAAACTCTTGAAGACATCTGGCTAAAAAGTCTACTATTGTTATCATCTTCTAATCATGTCAAAAGCTGAAATAGGATATTTTTCTGATGGTGCCCCAAAGAAAAGCGGAGGAGGGTGGGCTGAGATTAGAGACTGATTTTCCCAGCGGCGGCCCCTCCCTCTGGAACAGCTTGTTCCCCACATTGGGTGTGTGTCTTTACCTTGATGTTTCAGAAGGTGATGGAAACAAACCTCTAAGGGACTATTTGGGATTGTTCGGTGACAGCTATATGTCTATTTATAATTTGAATAGTTTTATTATAATTGTTACTTGTTTTATGGGTGTTTCTATCAGTGTAACTCATATGTTGTAAAGATGCTTGGAATTGGAAAAGTAGGCAACATATACATTTAAATAAACAAACAACTGAACAAACAGTCAATGAATATATTTTCCCCCTAAATTCAAATTAGTTCAGATCAAATTGATTATACTGGTCATTCCAATGAAATATTCACTGACTCACTCAATTCACTCACTCAAATTGACTTGCCCCCAGTTTCAATGTGCAAACTTGAATCAAATAACACCTTCTTCAAATTTTCAGTTTTAAGTGGATCAGAATTGACTCATGTCAGGCATGAATGTAATAATAATAATAATAATAGTAGTAGTAGTAGTAGTAGTAGTAGTAGTAGTAGTAGTAGTTGGAAGGGACCTTGAAGGTCATCTAGTCCAACCCCCTGCTCAGGAAGGAAACCCTATACCATTTCAGACAAATGGCTGTCCAGGGTCGTCTTAAAAATGTCCAGTGTTGGAGCATTCAAAGCATTTGGAGGCAGGTTGTTCCACTGATTAATTGTTCTAACTGTCAGGAAATTTCTCCTTAGTTCTAGGTTGCTTCTCTCCTTGATTAGTTTCTCCTTGATTAATATCCATTGCTTCTTGTCTTGCCTTCAGGTGCTTTGGAGAATAGCTTGACTTCCTCTTCTTTGTGGCAACCCCTGAGATATTGGAACACTGCTATCATGTCCCCCCTCGTCCTTCTCTTCATTAAACTAGACATATCCAATTCCAGAAACCGTTCCTTATATGTTTTAGCCTCCAGTCCCCTAATCATCTTTGTTGGTCTTCTCCGTACTCTTTCTAGAGTCTCAACATCTTTTTTTACATTGTGGTGACCAAAACTGGATGCAGTATTTCAAGTGTGGCCTTACCAGGGCATTGTAAAGTGGTACTAACACTTCGTGTGATCTTGATTCTATCCCTCTGTTAGTGCAGCCTAGCACTGTGTTGGCTTTTTTGGCAGCTGCAGCACATTGCTGGCTCATATTTAAGTGATTGTCCACTAGGACTCCGAGATCCCTCTCACAGTTGCTACTATTGAGCAAGGTACCACCTATACTATACCTGTACATTTGGTTTTTCTTGCCTAAATGTAGAACCTTACTTTTTTCACCATTGAATTTCATTTTGTTAGATAGCACCCAATGTTTAAGTCTGTCAAGATCCTCCTGCATCTTAAGCTTATCTTCTGGAATGTTGGCTATTCCTGCCAGCTTGATATCATCTGCAAATTTGATGAGTTCCCCATCTATTCCCTCATCCAAATCATTGATGAAGATGTTGAAGAGCACTGGGCCCAGAACAGAGCCCTGGGGCACCCCACTACACACTTCCCTCCATGTAGATGCAGTTCCTTTGAGGACCACATGCTGAGTATGGCTGGTCAGCCAGCTACGAATCCATCTGGTGGTGATGCTGTCTAACACACATTTTTCTATCTTACCAAGCAGTAGGTTGTGGTCTACTTTAACAAATGCCTTACTGAAGTCCAAGTAAATTATATCCACAGCATTCCTCTGGTCCACTAATTTTGTCACCTGGTCAAAGAATGCAATAAGATTTGTCTGGCATGATCTGCTTTTGACAAACCCATGTTGGCTTTTGGTAATGACTTTTTTTGCCTCTAGGTGTTTGCTGATTTGTTGCTTGATTATCTGTTCCAGAATCTTCCCAGGTATTAAGGTCAGGCTGATAGGTCTGTAGTTTTCTGGATCCATTTTTTTCTTTTTTTGAAGATGGGAACTACATCAGTTCTTTTCCAGTCCTCTGGTAGTTCCCCAGTGCTCCAGGATGTTTGAAAGATATAGTTCAGTGGTTCTGAGATCATATTTGCCAGTTCCTTGAGAACCTTGGGGTGTAATCCATCTGGTCCTGGTGATTTGAACTCGTCTAGGGTGGACAGGTGTTCACTTACCATTTTCTTGCCTATCGTAACTTCTAATCTGTTTTTTACAGTACTGTTTTTGATAGGTTAGACTGTTTGAAAGTGTTGTGGTCCCTAGCCATAACTACTAATTCAATCTTTAATATATAAATCTATCTTCAATAAAAGCTTGACTATAAAGTCTCTCGGTGTGTTTGTTTGGTGTCTGTGTGTTTCCTTTCTGCTTGCAAATTTTTCAAGTATTCTACATTGGTTACAAACATGCCTTTGAAGAAGATTATAAAATGCCCCAAACTTTCAAGTAAATTGCTATTAAGTCTGTTAAATTGCTTTAATGCCTTATAAGAATGTTTAGGCATTTCTATCTTTTTATTGTACTTTTTATGTCATGGAAAAAAGGCACAATAGTCCATTTAGTTAACAAATTGTATTTTTCAAAAAGATAGGCCACATACTTACTTTTGAAGTTTTTCAGTGGTCTCTTGCAAAGCATCTGAAGCTTGCTGAAATTTTAATTCTATACTTGTTTTCTCTGCTGCCATTTGCTGGAGCTGAGTTACCAGCTCCTCATTTTGAAGAAGGAGCATGGAGACAATATCATCTTTATTTTTCAAAGCTTTTTCATATGTTATAAGTGTGGAATTGAACTGATCCTTAAGATTTGCTTCTTGGGATAGAGCTTGATGCAAACTGTTGAAACAAAAAATATGTACATCAGTGAGTATAATGTAATTTTAAATATATCAATCTAAGTGACATAAATATGTGCATACACATCCATTCGTGACTATTAAGTATATAAAGTGACACAAGAGTGTCACTCATGATAGTTTTACAATACATTTAAATTAACATAGAGCTGACTCAGCAGCTTAATTCTTTAGAGCCTTTGACTATTTTTCTTTCTTTTCTTCTATAAGTAGAAGCAAATATTATTCAGGAGTTTCTCTGTATTTACAGGTACAAGTTGCTTCTGATTTGTACAATAAATCCCAAATCTCTTGCTTTTGTCAACACAAGAATTCTTGCTTAGGGAGCAACTTCGGTGAAATGAAACTGATTATCTTTAAGATGATAGAAGATAGATAGATAGATAGATAGATAGATAGATAGATAGATAGATAGATAGATAGATAGACAGACAGACAGACAGACAGACAGACAGACAGACAGACAGACAATTGCAGACATTTATTTCTGAGGTTCAGCCTCACAGGCTATATCTGAATGAAAAAAAATAACTTCAGAATAAGCTGGTTTATACTATAATCAGGCTCCTGTATACATATGCCTACATTCCACTTTCATATTCTCACTACATACAAAATAATCTTTACTGAGCAGAACAGTGTAGATCTAAGTTTAGAAATTTCCGTTTCTAAGAGCAAGATGTGAAACTGATGCTGTATTCTATTATTTCTACCTGTCTTATTCTCATGGGGTGCAACCAAATCAGCTTCAGCTTCCTTCAAGAATAAGAAGCCAACAGCCACATGCATCCTTATCTAGCAGCAGTTGTTGCCACCAACAACCCACTAAGCAGTTTTTAGTAGGCTCCTGGACAGCATAGTTGTGTAGGAAACCTGGTCATCAATGCCTTGACAGATGACTGGAAGCCAGGAGAGAAATCAGGTGTGAGGACCAAGCAATTAGAAGTAAGATTCCCGGGAGGCTACTTGGCTATTCCATGACTAGGTGCTCAAGCTTTCTAGGTTCTTGCACCTTTTCCCTTTTGTCCAGGAAATCTGTTCAGGAATATGGTTGTGACTGCACATGAATGTCTTTATACACACTTCAATGTGTGAAAGTCTGACTTCAGTTTTGATCATGATTGGTTGCTATAAAAAATAAGAAATGTTTAAAGCAGCTGCTGAACGTAATAAAATATGTTTTATATATATTTATGGAGATTCTCAGTGATCCAGGTCATGGTTGCTTCTTATCCAACAAGCTTCTTCAGTTCTAAACTGAGGAAGCTTCTTGGATAAGAAGCGAAACATCTTTAAGGAAAAACAAATAAAATCCAGTTGCCTCTTGAAAAAGCACCTTTGGGTTTTATATATACTTTATTTCACCCTTCCTAAAATTTTCCCAGGGAAGTCTAGTTGGGGTTATTCCTCAGTTTTTCTTTTTTTGGAATATTTTTATGAAATAGGGTATTAAGGTTTACATATTACTTTCATTTTAATGACTGAACAGGAATCCTGTATTAACTTAGACATTTTATATCTATTTTTGGAATTGTTTTTAATTAGCCAAAACAAAAGTAAATTTGGAAACAAATATTTTCTTCAAAATGAGTGTTTTATTGAGATTTTTTTTATCCTACACAGTGTTTTGTTAGAAGCTTGTTTACTTACAAACATTGGGTGTATAGACTGAACCTATCTAAATTACTGTGTAATGAAATAGAAATGAAATAGAAACTATATTTTTCTACTGAAAAGCAAGAAGAAATCCTGCATTAAGTTTATTGGTATCCTTTTGTTTCAGAACAAAAAATGAAGCACAACCAGATTGCCATTTCATATAGAAATTAAAACTCACCAGGAATGCATAAGTAAAATACAGCTGATTTAATGGGAATCTAAAAGTTAAAGGTCAAGGAATTGGCATGTCATTACACCTACCACCTGAGGTTGTTTGAAAATGATGTGAAGTATCTATTCAATTAAATAAGGACATTTTGAAATTATAAATAATGTATAAAGAGATAAAAAGTCAGTAGAATAGTAGATAAAATATATTAAACATGATTTTGCCGTAAGTGAAAAAGAATAACCATTTCAAAGTAGTATCCTGAGTTACAAGCTGAAGAAATCAGTATACTATTTTTGAATATATATATAAAAAGAAGTATCTTGTTAGATTAGACCAAGTCTAGCATTCTGACTTTCACATATGTTTATTGATAAACCATAACTGATTTTTTGTTTTTCTCGCCATGCACATGTATACATAATCCGAACTAGACTGTATTGTTTCTCTGTGTCATATAATATATGTGGGTATATGCATAATTCTGTATTTATTTATTTTTGTCATATTTATGTAGTATATATTGGAGATGGTGACCCTTTGAGAGCCGAATGGCAACGAAATTTCATTTTAATGTATGCCGATTAGTGTACATTCAAAATGACAATAAAGTTATTATTCTATTCGATTCTGATTGAGTGTGCACAACATCTAAAGCAGAGGTCCCCAACCTTTTTGGTACCAGGGACCGGTTTCATGGAAGACAATTTTTCCATGGACCAGGGGTGGGATGGGATGGAGGGGGGAGGGGGGGTTCAGGATGATTCAAGTGTGTTGAAGGAAAAATCTTCATCAGGGTCCAGTCCAAGCCGGGAATAAATAACATGGCGACTGCTTTAGAAAGAAGGTTGCAGTTTATTGAAGAGGAAAGCCAGACAGAAAGATGGTTCTGGAAGAAAAGAGAGAGCACATGTAGTAGGGAGTGGATTTTTATACCTTATTGGGCTTTTGTTTGGAGTTGTTCCTGTGCCATGAACTTTGTCCTGAGTCTGAGTGTGCCTTTCTGATATTCTGATGGTGATGGGTTAATCCTATTATGTCCTGTCTTAGAGTTTCGGTGGGGTATGTAGATTTTAAGGGTCTTTGTCTTCCTGATATCTTCAGCTTCTAGCTGGAGGGCTCCAACCTTCCTGAATGGATTATTACATCTGCATTTCTAAAAGCTGGTTTCTGCTGAGTTGTCTGGTTGGGGTGTGTGTGGAGAAGTTTCTGCCCTTTTAAAGATCTTCTCCATTATTCCCTTGGGGAAATATATTCTGCCTTTTTAATATTCCGCAAAAATATTTCTTTTCTCTGGATTGTTCCCACAAGTGCATTACATTTTTTGATAATTTTCTAAATAAACAAATGAACAAATAAATAATGCACTTATTTCTATTATTATTACATTGTATTACATTAAATCAGTGACTTTCTGCTTCTAAGAAAGTGGGAAGGAAGAGATAATCCTAAACTCAGCCTTCTAGCAAAACCCAGCATGTTGAAGAAGTGCCAAGAAAAGAGAGAGAGAGAGAGAGAGAGGGAGAGAGAGGGAGAGAGAGAGAGAGAGAGAGAGAGAGAGAGAGAGAGAGAGAGAGAGAGAGAGAGAGAGAGAGAGAGAGAGAGAGAGAGTAGTTTGGGGAGTTTAATTCCTTCCCCTCGTTGGAGTAAGTTAGGCAGAAGGAGAATTAGGAAACAGTTAGACATATGTCTTTTAGTGGGAGGTAAGGGTTTTTTTTCTTTATAGGATCAGCTGGGGGAGATAAAAAAAGATTACATGGAGTGAGGTCAGAAAGGGGTGAGGAGAGCGGACAAGGGAGTCCTCTGCCAGCACCAGAGATTGGTTGCCATCGTTCTAGGCAAGTTGTTGTCATCAAAGACGGATTAACATCGTCCTGGGCAAGTTGTTGCCACCAGAGACTGGCTACCATTGCTTTAGGCAAGTTGCTGTCACCAGAGACTGGCCGCCATTGTTCTAGTCAAGTTGCTGTCACCAGTGGCTGATTAACATAGTTCTGGGCAAGTTGTTGTCATTAGAGATTGACTATCATCTTCCCTGTAAGTTCTTATTGCCTGAGATCAACCACCATCATTCCAAGTGAGTCACCGTCGAGAGAGAGCGACCATCACTGCTCCATGTGCGTGGCTGCCGATCGTGACTGAATATCACCATGTTACGTGCCCTGTTAGGCAGAGGCACCAATGTGAGAGACTTCTTTGGGTTGGTGGCCACTTGGAGGGGAGGTCAGGAGGGCCCGGACTTAAGCAGTCCCTATGGGGGTGGTGCTACACATGGAACAATTAACACCTAAAGAGCATATCCCGAAGATATAAGTACAATTGTACACTGTTACCTGTTCAGTTTTCCTTTAGCATGTATGTACTCAGGTGGATACTCACACACAAGGTTATGCAAACCTATGTCTTACTGTTTTTCTTTTTCATGATGTATTTCCTATTGGATGGCTATCGCTTGATGTTCTCAGCTTAAGATTTTTTTCACATGAAAGTAACTGAAATCCTTGTTGACTTGGCCTCCTTTTCTGATTCAGAACTGTAATTTCTTTGGCCATTCATATGCTTCACTGTGCAGTCTGTTCCCTTTGCATTCTTTTCCTAACTGAATGGATTTTTCAAGATGGTAATGATCAAATGAGCCAAAAAAAAAGTGTATGTGTGTGTGTGTATTTCACTGGGCAACATGAAATGGAGCATCCATCCATTCAGCTCAGAGTCATTTTATATGCATAGCAATCAAACATAACTTACTGTATAGTAATTAAACAAACAACATTGTTCTTTCTTAAGTCGCTATAATATATAATGTGTCCAAGTTGTTGCTTAATTTTTCCCACCCATCCCCAAACAGCAAAAGCTACAAAATGCTGGATCATGGTCTATTGCAGCCATGTTCCAGATGATGCAAAAGGGATGTCACATATCATTTATTGGCTACCTCACCTCAACCAAATCTGAGCACATATCAGCCTCCATACATATGTGTCTTATATGTGTCTTATTTTGTAAAAGGTTTCTAGTGATCTCAACAGGCACTTCTGTTCTAAGACTCAGTGTCAATCTGAATTGAGTATTATTTAGCGCTGAAAAATATGTACTCATTTAGAATAAGTACAAAGGAAACTGTTTTCTAGTGCTGGCTAGTAGCACTAGCT